GAGAAAAACGAAAGTAAAACAAAACCCAATGTTGTGACAGAGGCGTCCCAAGGGGCTGAAGCCAACTCCTTGTCCCGACAAAAACCCCTTTTATTGACCGTGAATTCTGCTCATTCCCACCCACCAAAGTTTTTCGAGGGAGGATTTACAGTCACAGACCTCATCTGGCTTGGAGAGCTGCCAGGCTGATATCTGCCAAAGTTTGCAAGGAGTCTCGGAGAGTCCCGAACCAATGAAGGGAACTAAATGGCCTCCTGCAAACTCCACTCCCCTTTCGCTCCTCTTTTATTTCCTCTGGCAGGGGCCATTCATCATCCACCTGCGGCCTTACTCCCAAGTCGACCCCTGTTCTTTAGCTGTTCCCTTCTTGTCTGGCAACTCTGCGCATGCGCACACTGGGAACAGGCTCCAGCTGCTCGTCTGCCTCTGAGGTCAACAACCCCTGGGGTTGTTGAGTTCCACCCCTACTCGACTTGGCTGTGCTTGTTGTGTTTTTTAAATTGTTTGTATTGTCCTGTTTTGTTTTTGTCTTACTTTTTTGTATTGTTCTCCCTTCCCCTTGGCTTTTGTTCAGCCGTCCTGAGTCCCTTTGGGAATAGGGCGGCATACAAATCGAATCTGAAAGCAGCTTCTCTCTCTCTCACACACACATACACACACACAGACACACGAAAAACTCAACTCACCCCTTGGGATGGCCCGTGTACTTGTCACACAGGATGGTCACACGGTTGACGGAACCACAGCCGTGGAAGTGGGCTTCCAACTCTTCTGCGGTTGCCCCGTAATCGACCTGAAATGGAAGACGGGTCCCAGTTCAGGAGGTGAGCCTGCTGGTTTGGTCCTCGCTCGGAAGACAGCTAAGAGGGAAGGGGGAAACTCACATTTCCTACGTATATCGATCTGGCGTCGGCTTCCATCTTTTCTTCTAAAGACATGATGACCGGACCAGCTAGAGAGAGAGAGAGAAAGAAAAAAACAAACAAACGAGAGAATGATTAAATAAGGTGGAAGGGAACATTGTAGAGATTCCCCGTCATCCAGGTTCTACCCAAAGATGCTTTTCCCAAGAGGCAGCTGGTCTTTCTGGCATTTCTTCGAAGATCTTTTGCTTCTCCTCTTCGGCTCTGATTGGATGGTGGAGGAAGGAAAGGATTTACACTTCTTGCAGACAGCTGATCCTTTTCATTTGCATCCATTTAGCCAGTCGTTCAAGCCACCTGGAGGTTTTATCTCTGTTATCAGTCACCTGAGTGGTGGAAATGTGCCGTCTTAGAACTCTTAAAAGGATTGGATGGAGATTGGAGAGGTGGTGAATTTAGCCCGGATGGGTTTTGTCCTATCTTGCGCCATGCGTTTCGGAAGCGGCTGTTTTGTTTCCCCAACGTACAGATGGCTTGCTGCATTGTACTGCATATACCACGTTGTTTCGTTGTCTTGTTTTGGAGAAGGTCCTGTGGGGACTTTTGGGAAGATTTGATGACGGCCCACTTGGGATAGCCACACGTTCGGAGGGCTTCCTTGGTGTGCTTTCCTTCTCCCCCCCCCCCCCCCCCCCCCGCCCTCCATCTTTGCTGGCAGGCAAGGCCTTCATCTCGGTGGTGTGGTGTAGGGTTCTGATGACTTCCATTTTGTGCTCCGGCGGGTGGTGAGAATCAAAAAGTAAATATTGATTCTCTAAACTTCAACGTTAAGCCTTCGGTCTTCCTTAATGCACAAGCCAGGAATGCTAGAGACTATTTCCCGTAACATGAGCCAAGGTGGCGCAGTGGTTAAATGCAGCACTGCANATAGAATAGAATAGAATAGAATAGAATAGAATAGAATAGAATAGAATAGAATAGAATAGAATAGAATAGAATAGAATTCATGCCGAGTACACTTCAGTAGAGCAACCAATAAATTTAAATAAACAAATCTTGATGAAACATAAGTGAGTCAATTTAGATATAAAGTGTAAGTTAATGTCTAATTTTTTTTTTAGAATTTGAGCAACACTAATTCTTTCCCCCTTTTTTCCTCAACAAAACCCATTTTATCTGATCCTCTGTGGCTATGTTGGACAGGGCTCAACTAATTGTGATTAATGATCACAACTTGGTTGCATATGTCCATGTAACATGGGAATTGGAAAAACTAATTTGCAGTTTAGTGATAGTCAACTCTATTGGGTCCGTTGTTTGTCAAGGGAGGGAGGGAAGAAAGAAGGAAAGAAGAAAGAAAAGCATAGCAAAACTGGCTTAAACTCAAGGATATGACCATTGGTAAGAATTAACTTGCCAAAATATACACTTCTCATCATTGCCTCAGAGGTTGAAGCTTAAAGGTGAGGGACGCCATACAGTGGAAGAACAAATATTAGCTATTGGTTTCACAGTATATAGATAGATAGATAGACAAAGCTCTATCAGAACCTGGCTCTCTCAGCTTAGCTCTTGTTGCTGTCTTCTTTGATTCCACAAAATGGCCCTTTTAATTTCATTCTTAATTGGGATACAGCTGTTTTACGCAGTGGTTTCCGTTCCTTTTCCTCTCTCCCTTTCCACATCATGCAACTCTTTGGGGGTAAGGATTGCTGCAGAAGTGGCCCTCAACAAGGTCAATGAAAATCGGAAAGAAGGTTACGTTCTTGGTCTCCAGCGCATTTTTGATGTCCTAGAAGCTATTCAGGTAAGATCTGTTCCTTCTCTTGATTTTTCTTTTTTTTTCTTTCCACTGAGCACCAGGCATACTGCTTTCCAATCATGGTAGCACCAGTGTATTTCAGCAGGAAAATAACCTACAGAATCATTTGATGGCACCCAGGTGGTGTAGCCTAGATTTGATAGGCCTAATAAAAGACATACTCAAAGTAGGGCCAGCTTTACCATTAGACTGAGTCAAGCAACTAATATGTATTTTGTGGCAGTTCTTGTTATCACTGGTCAGTTCCACCCTCTTTTTAAAAATAGGACAGGGTACTAACTGTCCAAGGCATTCTAAATTAATGATTTGAGATCAGGTTTCGTGATAATATATTCACCATTGCTAGGATTAAAAATAAATGTTTTGCCGCATGTAACAAACCATCTGGAGTAACCCGTGGTTCTGTGGACACGGGCTCTGTGATGACCCAGGGCATGGCATGAAAGCAACACAGCCAGAGAACAGGTCTAACTCCCCTTTATTGCTCCAACTTTGCCCCCAAACATCCCCACATTTACTACAAGTCCTGGAGCAAAGTTCTCACCAGCACCTTCAGCAACCTTTGGCTGCGAGTAGGCCAGTAAACCAGATTAGCCAAAGAGTAACCAGGGCCAGCAGTCCAGTAAGTCAGGTTAACCAAACAGTAACCAGAGCAAGAAGTTTAGCAAAGCAGGCAAACCTGGAAAGCCCTACAAGAGAGCACAGTAATCTCCAGGCATCAGCTAGTGCACACGAGGCTCCACAGATTCAACACTTGTTCCTGACAAAGGCCTCTCCCTCTGATACCTTCTTACATCTTAGTCCTCAGATATGCCTTGTGAAAGGGGGCAGGGCACTCTCCTCCCTCGTAGGCGTCTCGGCCTACATTGTTCTCGCCTTCTCTCTTCTCTCCGTGCTCTAGGATCAGGAGGGGGGGGTCCTTGCTCTTCACCTGAGCTCTGTTCCTCCCTGTCTACAAGCCTTTCTAATCCTGAAAAGCTTTGCCTGGACTGACGCTGCCCTTCCCCAGTTTCCTCCAAGACCAATGGAGCCGCCCTCTTGATCTCTGTGGCGAATAGAATAGAATAGAATAGAATAGAATAACAACGTTAGAAAGGACCTTGGAGGCCTTCTAGTCCAACTCCCAGCGTAGGCAGAAAACCCTACTCCACTTCAGACAAATGGTTACCCAACATCTTCTTAAAAACTTCCAGTGTTGGAGCATTCACAACTTCAGAAAGCAAGTTGTTCCACTGATTAATTGTTCTAACTATCAGGAAATTTTTCCTCAGTTCTAAGTTGCTTCTCTCCTTGATTAGTTTCCACCCATTGCTTTTTGTTCTACTCTCAAGTGCTTTGGAGAATAGTTTCACTCCCTCTTCTTTGTGGCAGCCCTTGAGATATTGGAACACTGCTATCATGTCTCCCCTAGTCTTTCTTTGTTCCAGCTCATCTTCCACCGCAGATTCAGACTCCGACGGGGGCACGACAGGTTCCCTTTAACTTTCTTGGCATACAAAGTTCCAATATGCTACCGTCTTTTGCTGCCTAAGTCCCCAACAGAACTGGTCTCTTGTCATTTGAGGTTCTCAAAGAAGTAGGTGATTGTAAATGCAGGGAGGTAAATTTAAACAAGGAAGAAAAGAGTTGAACCAGTTTTCCCAAGATGCATTGAAGATGCAGTGATCCATAGAGCATTAAAATATTGAGAGATTAATCTAGTAACTGCAGGTGCTCTTCCCCCGTTCATCGGAGACTAAGGAGCAGCCTTGCAGTATCCCACCAGAGCTGGGAACCTTTTTGGCATGTGCGCAATTTTGTCAAGTAGCTGGAAAAGATATTAGTCTTGCATCACAAGACAAAAACAACTATGCCTGCATTACTTCAAAAGCAAGATGGGCTGCATATAATTTAAATTAATTGGGCATCCTTGCCCAGTTCAAGGAAGCTTCTGGATTTATCTGAGAATGGAGTAGGTTTCTTGACATCAAGTAAAAATCAGATGATGTCCTGTCTTTTTCTGAATTTTGATTTGAAAGTTAATTCATTTAACGTGTTCAAGTTCATTAACAACCTCGCTTGCCTTTTTAACAGTTTTCCTTTGTCCATAATAGGGTGATGAGTCTGCTTTCGATCTTATTTTGGATGTGCTAGAAACCCAATGCCATGTGCGGAGCAGGAAACCCTGGAAAGAATGCGAATTTAGAAGCCCACATGAGACAGTAAGTAATTGATCTAATTTAAAGAACCCACAATGGGGTTTAGAAAGACATCAAATCTGGGGTTTGAATCTAGGTTTTCAAAGGTGACTGAGGGAGTAACTCCACCCGCTTGCCATGTGGCAACAAACTTTCTCTTCACAATAGCCTTCACCACTTCTCCCATCTTGCCACTTGTTCCTTGGCATCTCTGTGTTCATCAAGAGCCGAGGTGGCGCAGTGGTTAAATGCAGCACTGCAGGCTACTTCAGCTGACTGCAGTTCTGCAGTT